GTATGCGACGAGCACGGAGCCAGCAATGGTAGCGAAGCCACAGCACCTGCAGTATTTGACCAGCAATTAGCATCGAGTCTCCAAGGTCGGAATTTGAGTTGCAAGGCACCTTGGGGAATCAGGGATTTACTATGAAGGAACAGACTGGGAAAAACCTACATGACTTGGTGAAGCTCGGCTTGAGTAAGATGTTCGACGAACGGTTTGATGAGCATTGCAGACTCGCCTTGCCCAATAAATGGCGAGGCCGCAGCAACCACCGCTTCTGCACCGGATACTCTCTTTTCGGAGTCAGCAAAGTCTATTCGAGGCAGAGATTGGAGTTGCAAGACAGGTTCCGAGAGTAGCATGGTCCTTTGCTCCCGAGACAGGTCTTGTACTACCGATCAGGAAAAATCAGCCCCGAACTGTACGTACCATAGACCAGAAAAAGAAGACAGCGAATTTGCCGATGAACCATTGGAATATCCCATTGTAAAAGCAGAGTTGGACAAGGGCCACGAAAAATATAACTGCCTAAATGGTATGAAGTCAGCAATCTTCCTAGAGCGAAGACCTAAGCCGTGGGACAGTCTGGATGGGTATTAAGAGCCTTTTGATCTCAAAAAAACATGTCTCTCAACTCGAACAACGGTCCGTCATAGGTCCTACGAAAATGAACGTACCGGTAAAGTGGAAACAATGAACCAATGGGTTGATGGGACACTTTCCGCTGTGAGGAATATCGTTCCCTGGTTCGCAAACCCAAGTAGATCTCGAGCAAGTTCCGAAATAAAACTGAAGATATCATATCCTACGCTTGATCTCAGGACAAAGAGGGCTACAATAAATTGGACCTACACAGAATCCTGAGTCAGCACACATTCCTCATGGGAAGAACCTGGGCTATTGGATCAGTCTTTGCTCCTGGTGCAGTGTTCATAAATAAAACCCTGGTACCAAAGAGGAAAGATCATTCTCCAGAAAATACATACTAGCATTCCTACTATCACAGTGTGCCAATTCACAGCCTTTCGATTGCGTGATGTCACATAGAGGACGAATATGAAGACAGCCAGCCCGAATAGAGACACCGCTCGATTATCGCGAGTATTGTCTTCACTTTCGGGACTGACAAATCCGCCGATCAGAAAGACGGATATGGTCAGGAGAGCGGCCAGTGGAATTTTGAACCGTTCCGGCAACAGCTCTGCAAAACGCACGCCGGTTTTCTCCCACGTCCAGTGTATGGGCTTCGTGACAACAGTAATGGGAACGTGGAAGAAAACAATTCGTAAGGTAACTGCAAGCCAGAAGAGGAATGGTTTGAGCCACCCAGTATTCGAGCTTAACGAGTCATGGATGCCATGGAGTAGCAACCCGGCGATCCACCATCCGGTAAAGACAATCCAAACAAATAGATGAAAGAATATGCGGTATCTTTTGTAAAAGTTCGAGAACGTGTGGGTTTGAGGATCCTCTTCAGAGCGACTGGGGCTCATGGTACCTTGCTCAGGATCAACGGCTGCCGCTGGCTCTTTTGCCATATCTGCATGCCGCTTTCTGTGAAGATCATGGTCCTGCGGATCCTGGTGCGGGATAGTCCGCCCCTCAAAGGTTGTACCATGGGAGTAGATGAGCACGTCTTCCCGACCTTTCTCTGCCTGGGCATCATGGTGCACGTGATCATGATGATGCTCATAGGAGTTTTGAAGGGCTGGGTCGTCATTCTGTATCACATTCTGCTGAGGAGAAGAGTTATGATCTCTGACATCAATGTAGCCCGGCGTGGTTGACATTGTTCCCACTTGGCGCAGATGTCTGGGAAAAGATACAATTCAAATATGGGAGCTCGCTGGGACAAGGGTCCTATTAAGATACGTTTATCCATGTGTAAGATAATCGCCAATGCCTCGGCGTTGAGAGACATTTTCGAGGATCTACGTTGGAGGGAGCGCAGAAGACCCAATTGGCTGTTGATGCTGCCAAGTAGACCTGTGCATACCTAGTCTTATCGCAACGCCAATGTGCATACCTTGTGAGTGAATTCATCGATGGTCAAACTGCAGCTCGTGCAGTAGGGGAATTAAATACGCTACGGAGCGGCAGGCGTGTGCAAAGGTATAGAAATCTTGGCACCGAAGAATACCCACACCTCTTAGGGCCCCTTCGGTAACGAGCTTGCCTGGGGTTAGACTTCACCACGTTCGCAGTACCCTCTTCATACAGGCTTCTACCCCCTTTTCGCTTAGGGCTTAACCTTACGCAAGTACTTGCCAGAGATGTAAAGGGTGTCAACATCTTGCACCGATCACAGATAGCCGAACGTTTCGACGTTCCTACGAGCGTTCCCTCTATCAGGACATCTTCTACGTCTGCAACAAGGCTAAGTGTGAGGTAGGATTGTTCTGCTTATCGAGTATCATCTCTTGCCTGAAATTCCGCTTCACAGCACTGTTCCTAAGCCTAAGATATGGCGTCCGGCCCTGATAATCAGCCTGAGCCCGGGTCAGATATTTCAGACTGGGAGATCGAAGAAGGTCTCCCGCAATTTGAAGACCAATTCATACAAAAGTATTTCCAAGGCCGCGAAGCCCTTATAGATCAAGAGAAATCTCAGCGGAGTGATGCAGCTTTCCGCCAATCTCTCACACCACTAGCCACCGAAGCGTGTGCAATAGTATCGCGGATATTGGTCGAGGAACATCGGACTATTTGGACCAGCGAGTTTCAAGATGACCTTGCTCGGCAGGAAGGCGTCAACTTACATCCAGGAATGATGTTTGCGCTTGCCCGGGACACAATGGAGAAAACGAAATCTTGGCGAATAGTGAAAAAAATGCCAAAAGGAGCCTTGTTGCATGCGCATCAGGACGCTATGATCGATGTGGACTGGCTCATTGATGAATTGCTTGGGACAGAAGGAATGGCTATGCTGGCAGAAGAGGCGTTGTGTGGTCCAACAGCGAGGGCGCACGGAAAGGTGGTTTTCCGTTACTCAAAAGGATCACTAGCGACCGCTTCATCGATTTGGAGCGAAGAATACCAACCATCTCATCCTGTTTCCATGAAAGAGGCTGCTGGGAGCTTTCCTGATGGTGCTACAGATGGTTTTAAGGCCTGGCTAAAAGCCAGGTGCACCATCACCCCGGAAGAATCCATCAAGCATCATCACGGACTTGATGCCGTCTGGAAGAAATTCACAAGCTGCTTTCCACTACTAGACTCAATGGAGTATTATGAACCTATACTGCGGGCGTCTATGCAACGTCTTCTACGACAAATCGTGGGTGATGGCTTGAGTTGGGTAGATTTTCGATGCACATTCGCAGCCGATTTCAGATTAGAGGGTTGTGAAGAACCGTCTAAAGGTCCCGATGATCTTGTTCGCATCTTCAGCGAAGAGCTGAAGAAATTCAAGGCTACCGAGGACGGAAGAAATTTCTGGGGATATCGATTCATATGGACAAGTTTACGATCCTGGAGCAAAAAGAAAATTGTGGATCACATGAAGCAATGCATCCTCATGAAGAAGGCCTATCCTGAGCTCATCGCTGGCTATGATGTTGTCGGACAAGAAGATATGGGGAGATCACTGGCAGATCTTACACCCGAACTATTCTGGTTCAAGAAGCGCTGCTTCGAGAACGGGGTTGATATGTACGTATTCTTGGGCGTCTTCCCAGCTGAAAATCAAAGTACCGCACTTGAACTCATAGACCGTTACCGTCTTGATAGCAAAGACAGCTTGTCATTCTTCAACATCGTCTATTTACTCCAATTTATATTTTGAGAAGAAGCACTGATATGGAGATCTGTAATAGTCCGTATTTCTTTCACGGAGGCGAATGTCTGGGAGACGGCGATGAAACGGACCAAAACCTCTTTGATGCCATACTCCTTGGGACCCGAAGGATTGGCCATGGATTTTCGCTATACAAGCATCCTCTCTTGCTGGAGATGGTCAAGACAAAAAAGATACTCATAGAATCGTGCCCAATCTCAAACGAAGTATTGCGCCTCACAAGCTCCATCAAATCACATCCTTTACCAGCCCTTTTGGCTCGAGGCGTCCCCTGCGCTCTCTCGAATGACGACCCAGCTGTCTTAGGGCAAAGGGAAAACGGTGTGACGGACGACTTTTGGCAGGCATTGCAGGGGTGGGAGAATCTTGGCCTGGCTGGGCTTGGTTCTCTTGCGGAGAATAGTGTACGCTGGGCAGCACATGAGGATCAAACAACGAAGGAATGGACTGAAGACATCAAGAAAGGAGTTTATGGCGAAGGGATACGGGCTTCGAGGCTAAGGGAATGGCATATGGAATTCAACAGATTTTGCGAGTGGATCTTGTTAGAATTTGCTCTTGACTACGGAGGCGATGAAGACTAGATAGATGCACACAAAGACTTTGAAATGCAAGGACTGAGCACAGCACAGTACAACCTACATATGATACCGTTCTCCGCCTTTTTGGCGTGGAAAAACAATGTCAACATATTCATGTCAGTTCGGGAAATTGACCCTGAAAGACAATCCTCTCAGAGGGGGCTCTTCTTATATGTCAATGATGAGTACATTGCAATGGCCGTATTTTGATAAGAAGGACGGCTTGAAGACGCAAGGCATTCGAGATGAGGAAGAGGTAACAATTACTTTCCGTATTCAAAAATATCAATACGGTAATCATACCTTAGAGGATTCGAGTTTCTCCAAGCCCCACCAGACTACTAGGTATTGACGTGGGGGATGGTCACATTCAGTAGAAGAACGGGCAATGAATCATGTGTTGACTGCCAGATTCTCTTAAAATTTACACACGTCTGTGGCAAAAGAAATCTACTGTTTGACGACGACAGGTGTCTCCCCCAACATGAGTTATCAGTACAGGCCTCCACCGAAAAAGAACTTAGGATGGTCTCTACCCTCGATCACTCCTCACCAGGTGCGACTCCGCGTCCAGCATCGAAAGGTCGTTGCGATGATAAGCCGATAACCGTCTTTTGTGGTTTGCACCAGTGACAATGACTTTCTTCCTTCCGTCCTATTTCCAGAAGCGGATCTTACGATATGCTCTTTCACGACTAGAGCTGCTGGACACCGATGCTTTAGATCTCGAGAAGTTGGATATAGTATGGGGTAAGAGGAGCACAGTTGAGCTGAGGGATGTGGCCGTGCATACGAAGGTGGGCATACCATGCAGGTCATTCTACTTCCCGTCGTGCAACGGCTGAGCAACTGCTTTCAGAAACTTGCCGATTTACTACAACTGCCAAGGAATTTGGCCATCTTTTCTGCTCAGATTCAGTATCTTCGGCTTACGATCCCTGCGGACCTCTACATAAGTGGAATATCAGTTGAAGTGCAAGGAGTGCAGGTGCGCGTGAACGCAAACCTCGAAGATCAATGCGGAGGGGGAAGACCCAAATCGACACCACCCAAAAGAAATCGGTCGGGAAAACCGTCAAAGGGCGTCAAAGCGGACAACCCAAGAAATACACAGTCTCACGTTCACGACCCCGGTGGCGGTTTTCCCAGCCCTGTACTGCAAACAGGTGGTGACAGCCGTGCAGGAGTCTCAGAGTACTTGCCAACTACCGTTGACCTAGCTAAGTCATTCTTACATGACGAATCAAAGGAAGAAAAGGCCGAACTGCAAGATGCTGTTGCAAAGTCCCAATACCTGGATCAGTCTCTAGTGACTAGCGATGATGGTGACGAAACGTCCGATCTTGGTGTTGCCAACACACTTCCCCTTCCAGGGTTTTTGGCAGACTTTCTGAAAGGTGTTGGGGACCGTGTCCAGTTGAAAGTCAAGGATGTGGAATTGGACCTGGACATTAAGCTAGATATTGCTTCGGAAAGCTCTGCCAACAGCGATACATCAGAAAGGTCGAATGTCTTGACCATTCGGTTTTACATAGAGGACATAATCGTCAACGCTATCACCCGCCTAGCAACACCAAGCGTAACGGATCAAGGGAGTGTCCAAGAAGCTTCTAACTCTGTCTTTCAAGAGACCCGTCGCGTGACATTGGCCAATTTTCACGCTATGCTCATCTCTGATGCCTCGTTGTTCGCCAACGTTGCTCGATCTACCGGACCGTCGTCTCCGGAGACTACCCACGCGAGCATTATAGCGAGATCTGGCAGCAAGCCTATAGACTCTCCTGCTTCAAGTACCATTGGCGAACCCAAAACGATAAGCAGTCCTCTCCCTGCGAGCCTAGACAGACAAGATTCTCAGGATTCCGAAGCACCAATGATATATGACTTCAGTCAAGAGCCTACGGATTCCGAGGGTTCTGATACGGATCATGAATCTACCGCTTCATTGGGTCTGTCCAATGCTGGCGATAGTCAGTATCATGATAGCGCGGTCACTGGCTCCTTCTACTCCGCCTCCGGAGACACCCCACAATCACCCGAGGAAGGAAAAGATCCTAAAGATCTTAGGTCGTTTCTACACGAGGGGGCAGCCAACTATGGATCTTCTGCCCCATTGTCGAGAATGTCTCACAACTCCGTTGATGCAGCGTCGCTTGAAGGCGGTCGGACACCTCCAGCAAAATTCGATGCATTTCCTCCAACATCACTCCCTGCTGGGAACTCACAAACGGAGCTTGGGTTCGACATGCGAAGTCAAGGTTCCATGCGCCCATCTGAACCACGAGCCAAGCCCCAGGATCCTGGCCGGCCAATGGGTATCAGTACAGAAGCTCTGCCTTCGAAGTCCTCAAGTCCCAGCAGTCATACAGTTTCTCCAATTTCTGAAGACCTTGCACAATCAAAAATCTTTAGTCACGAGGAGGCAGAAAGCATGTACATGAGTGCCATCAGTCATGTTTCTGCTCCGCAAACAGATAAGAGCACATCAATACCTGGTCAGTGGAACGCCTCGAGCTCGGACAGCGGCGACGAGGGTAGTGATTCGCTTGTTCCAGGTAATCTTTCAGTTCTGCAGGACAAACCGACCAGCATCTTACGCCAGCATGAAACACCGGCGAATGGAGATAGACTTGCAAGCCATCATGATGACCATGGTCCTCGGATCCCCCGGATTTCCAATCCAGAATCGACTGAACACATGTTTCCATCTTCGACATTGCCCACCAATGTAAGGCATGAGCCAGTGTCACCCCCTAGACTTCCCAGCCAGCGAGATGGTTCATCCCAAGGTTCTGAGGCCTCTTCGGCAAATCTCAAAAGCCCCTTCACCATCATGAAGCGCATACTATTTGTTGACTTCATTGCCCTGGAGATTCCCCAAGGTAATGCCAATACAGCAGACAGCCCAATTGGGATCAAGCATCAACCGTCTGCTGCTTTGAGCCAGACACTCTCTGGAAGCTCAAGGTTAACCTCGCAGACCACCCACGCCGCTGCTCACGGAATCTTATCCTCGGATTACAGCTCAGACTCCCAGCAGTCTGGCCGACGGCCATCTATAGATGTAGGTAATATTCAAGTCTTGGGTGATATGGGTCTCGCCAAATTGATGATTCTGGTTATTGAAAAAATTAATGCCATGCGTTCATCCTCTTCCTCCGAGAAGAGCAGAACAGCTGTCCCGCAACCAGCTCCAAGAGAGGTGAGCCAGGTAAGATTGAAGGTGAAGCGGATGTGCTGGAAGTTTCTCGACGTCGTCAAAGGAGTGCCTGTGAGAGGTATACGTTCCCAGAACCCCGTGGAACAAAACGATCTGCGTGGAGACTCAGAAGTTTTATTGAGAGCGGAGATGAAAGAATTCTGTGCTATGTACCGCAAAAGTGAAGCATCGTCTGTATTGGAACTATCGACAAGAAAATTTTCATTTGGATACGTCTCGGAAGACATCCTCTCCTTTGATTCCGGCTTGAAGATGAGAGAATCTACCCGAGACATACTTGCACCTATCGACAATGACATGAAGTTAACGGTAACGAAGACAATTAGCGCCACGAAGGTTGAGTTGACAACACTTCCGTTGCATATCGCTCTAGACTCACGCCGACTCGACGAGACTTTTACCTGGTTCGGCGGATTCAGCAGTATGCTTGGTCTCGGAAGCTCGATGATGTCCACTATGACTGTGGTAGACATGGCGGCTAAAACTTCCCATCACAGCAGGCCAGTTCGCGGTGTACACTTCGAAGGCCAAACGCAGAACAGTCCAAGACTATCTCCTCCAATTCAGACGCAGAACAAAGTCACGGCAAGGATTGGGGGCATTGTCCTTGATCTTCGGGGTACACGCTCTTCTTTACGTCTTGAGAGCACGGCCATGAAGCTTGTCAGCCGAACGGAAGGTCTCGGCTTACAAGTCGACCGACTGAACATCAGTGACCCGTATCTGCGGCATGCCTCTTCTGAGCCATCTACAGCGGTGAAGCTTTCGAATCTTAGAATAGAGTACTTGTCAACACCCAAAGAGAAGGATTTAGATCGGCTACTTGCCCTCTTGTCTCCTTCCAAAGACGAGTATGAAAGGGATGATGATATACTGCTGGATACTCTCTTGCGTCAACGACGACAAGGAGGCGTAGTCCGCGCTACAGTCGAAAGCCTTGAAGGCATCCTGTCGGATCTAGACGATCTACAACGTATTGCAGCGTTATCGGAAGACCTCAAAAAGCTCTCGACTGTGACAAAATATCTGCCTGAGGATGATCGTCCAGGTATCCTAACGCTGATGTTGGTTCGCGACCTCAGACTCAAGATCCAAGTCAACGACAGCTTTGGTGCAGCTATTTTGGCTTCGAAGGACTTGGAGGCAGCATATGTCGCATTCCCCAGCTTGGTCGCTCTTGGAATTACTACATTGAACCTTCATCGAAACGGTACAGAAGAGTTGATCGGACACGCTCTGCCCATGCAGATCGTTGGCGAGACGTATTCACCCATGGTCATGGCTCGCTTTGTCGGCAACGAAATGGAACCTACAGCAAAAATAAAGCTTTACAATGTACGCTTTGAGTATCATGTCCCCACTCTTATGGCAGTTATGGGAATGAAGGATGCCACATCCGTCCAATCAATTGTTGCTGATATGGTGAGCTCTGTGGCTACTCTTACTGCCCGAGCTGCCGACAGAGGATCTACACCAAAGCCTTCGGCTCAAGAACCCGCGAGCAGTGATCGTTCGCAAGGTTCGAAAGAATTGAGACTTGATGTTGCTGTGCGAGACTCGACCCTGGGGCTCAATCCACGCAAATCGCCGGCCAAAGGCCTTGTTGTTTTCACTGATACTCACTTCGTAGGTGCCATGCCCAGAGGAGAAGAAGCCGACGCAGTGCTTGATATCAGAAAGGCTTCACTCATGGTGATCGGCGACCGTGAAAATGCCCCTTCTACAGCTCAAAGCTCTATCGACCGACGAGGTCAGGTTGAAATTCTGTCCGACCTAGGTTATGTATCTGTCAGCTTGATCTCTGCAGCAAAAGCTACGATTAAAATTGTCAAGCTCGAGAATGATTCCAGCAGGGCAATCGATGTAGAGATCCGGGACGATCTTTTTGTCCTAGAGTCATGCGCGGACTCCACCCAGACATTGCAGAATATCATAACTGGACTGATACCGCCAACGCCGCCCTGCACAGAATTGAAGTACAGGACAGAGGTCATACCCGTCGAAGACATGCTCGCTTCGCTCTCGGGCAATGCTTTCCCAGCAACTCAGATCAGTCCTAATACCGATAAGGAATTATCACTGGAACTTGACGAAGGCGATATAGTAGACGACGACGTCCCGCAGAACCTCGAATTCGTAAGCAGTATCTATAATCCTAACCTCGAATCAGTATACGAAGGCATCGCAGACAGCATGCTTGAAGATGATATAGAATCTCTACCAAACCCTTCGATCGTCCAAGGAATGGGAAACAAGAATACCATGGAAAATTACGAAGAGCAGACACAGATTGCTCCTGATAACTCCTCTCTTGATTTCGTCGACGATCACTTTGGAACGAGCTCAGTGGTGGGAGGCACTGCTCATCAGCGGAGTATCCAGCAAAACACCTACGGATTGAGCAACGAGTTCAGAGTGCGTGGCAGTCCTTTGAGAGTTCGTGTGCGGGACGTACACTTTATATGGAATCTCTATGATGGCTACGACTGGCAGAGTACCAGAGACACCATCAGCCAAGCCATCGAAGACGTTCAAAACAAAGCCACAGAACGTTTGGCTCGCAATGATAGACGCAAACCTGCGGACCCCGACGAAGAGGAGGAATCCGTGATTGGTGACTTTCTTTTCAATTCGATCTACATTGGTATTCCCGCGAATCGTGACCCAAGAGAGCTGGCTCATCAGGTCAATCGCAATCTTGACGATCTTGTTAGTGAGACAGAAAGCTATGCGACTTCCACACCTTCAGGCTCGCCGAGCCGAAAAGGTCAAGCACCACGTTCGAGAGGCAGCAGGAAACTGCGGTTGAAACGTAGTAAGTATCACAAGATGACCTTCGAGCTGAAGGGCGTCTCTGCAGATGTGATAGTCTTGTCGCCAGACTCAGGCGATACTCAAAGCTCTCTAGACATCAGAGTACAGGACCTCGAGATATTCGATCATGTGCCAACTTCCACATGGAAGAAGTTTGCTACCTACATGCATGAGGTTGGAGAACGCGAAAGTGGAACAGACATGATCCACCTTGAGATATTGAACGTCAAGCCTGTGCCCAGTCTTGCAGCGTCGGAGATCATTCTAAAGGTGAGAAAGGAGGTTTTACAAAATACGAAAGCTAATTCGTGCTCAGGCCACTATACTTCCGCTACGACTTCATGTCGACCAGGATGCACTTGATTTCATCACCCGTTTCTTCGAGTTCAAGGACAACTCTGCGCCGATGCAAACCTCGCAGTCTGAAGCGCCGTTCCTTCAGCGCGTGGAAGTGAACTCCATACGAGTCAAGTTCGACTTTAAGCCAAAAAGGGTCGATTACGCAGGTATTCGTTCAGGACATACGAACGAGTTCATGAATTTTTTCATACTTGAACAAGCAGACATGATTCTCCGACACGTCATCATCTATGGCGTCTCTGGTTTTGACAAGCTCGGCAAAACCCTCAATGACATTTGGATGCCAGATGTCAAAGGGAACCAGCTGCCCGGTGTTCTTGCGGGACTTGCACCTATTCGCTCGCTCGTGAATGTTGGAGGCGGTTTTCGCAACCTAGTCGCTATCCCTATCCGAGAGTATCGAAAGGATGGTAGGGTGGTTAGAAGTTTGCAGAAAGGCGCGGTTGCTTTCGCGAAGACAACGACGAGTGAACTAGTCAAACTGGGAGCTAAGCTTGCGATCGGTACTCAAACCGTGCTTCAGGGTGCCGAGGATCTTTTAACTCAGCCGGTGAAGAGATCAGATGTGAGTGTTGGTTGGGAAGACGCCGAGTTCGAGGAAGACGAAAAGCCGCAGATCAGTGCGTACGCCGATCAGCCAGTAGGCGTGGTCCAAGGCCTTCGGGGTGGCTATGCCAGCCTCGAGCGCGATCTACTCACCGCCAAAGATGCCATCATAGCAATGCCTGGGGAGATTTTGGAGAGTGGCACGGCAGGCGGCGCCGCGAGGGCAGTTTTGAGAGGCGCTCCTACAATAATTTTGAGGCCTGCAATGGGCGTCAGCAATGCGGTGGGGCAGACATTACTGGGGGCGACAAATAGTTTGGACCCTGGAAACAGAAGGCGGATTGAGGATGTACGTCCATCTCCTCCCTTTGGCTTGCAAATACTGATTCACGGATAGAAATACAAGAGGCATTGAGATTCTCTGAGCTCATGGCAAGCCAGCATGCAAGAGGCGTCAGCGGCGCACCTTTTGCGGGCTTTGGCATCGCGGACTGCTGGTTGCATAGCGATGTCTTTTTATGTTTGTAACTCTTTACACGTAGTCATGATTGGACGAGTTCAATGAGAGATCTTGTGGAGCATGAGCCATAATTTGTGTAGAACGAAATATAAAATTTGGTCTAAAAATAATGAAAGTTACCTTAGGTCTTTGTATAAGATACGACTTAGTGTGGCAGTCTTGAGAGCGGAGATCGTCCGTAAAGCTAAATTTTCTCTCTCCTCTCTGAAGCCTCAAATCTCGTGTCATCTTGAACCCATATAAGACCCCAAGGGATGGCTCCATAACCATAAGCCTATACAATAGATGGAAGACTGTGCAATCACACCTTTTGACCAAAGAGTATGATATCGTTTACCCCATGCCGGCGGTTCAATACTGATGCCTGCTGCATGTGATCCTGGATCAAGTCAGCTCAAATGGCCCCGCAAGAATTTTGCATAGGATTATTCAAGATCTGGAGAACTATTGATATGATTAGAAGACTTCATTTGTAAATCCGAAACAGTGATGCCTGAAACACATTGAGCCAAGCCCATCACAGCCATCCCATCCTCTAAGACAACGTGTACCTCAAGCTATTGAATCGGAATGCCTAAAGCTACGAAACTTCGAGGCAGCCTCCTTTCATCAGATTTGCAGACATAAAAACCACCAGCGTTTGAGGTAAAGGGAACAGAGTACCACACGTCTACCCCACTGCGTCTACTCCACTGGGGGAAGTGTGCTAGGCTGCACGCCCACATAGCTCGTTCAGCTTTAGCCTTCTCCAACACTGCTGTTGCTAGCACCGAAGGGGACAAAGATATCAACATATCCTGGGGAAAGATATACAAGCCGAACGTCAATCAACAGAAACTTTAGGCCTCTCTTACACACACGGGTCTGACAAAGCTCCTACACCGCTTTGAAGTATCGCTGAATGCCAGCTTTGTCTCTTTCCGCAGGGTTTTGCACAGTGGACAATCGTCTGAGATGAGATGAGATGATGTGGACATTGTTGTCCACGGCCCAATTCCTTATATGGTCTTTTAGTTCGAGGTGCTATGCACCACAGCCTGGCGACAGCATAAGTTTCTCAGACCGCTCCAAGAACAAGGGTCTCTTCCGGTCTTGCAAAACCTCTTTCCCCGTCAGAGTCTAGTGTTACCTTTGATGTAAAGCAGGCCCGGCTAGGCGGTTTGGGAGGGCTTGAAGAGAGATCGAAAAATGGAGTATTGCCCTTATTGCTTTCACAAATGTTCTCTTCCCCTCGTAATTCCTTCTTCCTTCGCTTGTTCTTCTCAACCACTTCTGCTTTGCTTTCTTGGTCTTTAGTGCTTTCTCCAAGTGATCTTTTGATAATGTTGCTTGTCAATTTTCTTGCATGATCTCTGACTCTGTAAATCTTGGATGATATCTTGTTTCTCTGATCGAGAACCCATCTTCGTTAATGTCAATGCTGAAGTAGACAACACGACTGGCCCTGATTCCGTTCCCAATCGTCTTTAGGAAAAATAGCCGTTACATCTGAGGAAACCATGGCTGAATGATTGATACAGTGACCAACGGAGAACTTGACTGGTGAGTGCTCCTGCCTCCGCCATTGGAGAGCTATGTGATCAACCTGCGTTTGCTAGGTCAGGAACAAAGACATTATCGCAAAGTCATGACGGGGAGATGAACAGTGACAGGGAAGATGAAGTGATACACAAGTACACGGATAGGTCTTCGACAAACATGATGATGCCATGACCGCTTGCCTGGTTATCCAGACGATCGTCCGACGAACACGCGAAAAGTGAGGTCTCTTAAGGCTCCGAAAAACTCGAAGAAAGGAACACAGCTTGGCGTTGTTGACTGTTTATGTTGGACGGAACACTGGCTGCGGGAACACTAAAGACTCCTGCTTGTAGGCAGGGTTATGAGAAGTAGTGGTAGCTGAAGATCGACTTCATAGTTGTTGTCAGGGCTGCAGGAAGGGAAGAGATGGCAAGTCGAAATGGATGAATCAAAATTAGGCCAAGTTGTTGATCAACTATCAACACTTCGCCTAGATCGGTCATCCTCGACACCCCTTTTCCACTTCTCGACTCCCCCAATTCACCAGGTTCATCGCTACCAGCTTGCCATCGCTTGATTATTGCAAGGCCAAGACGACCTTCGAACGGCCTGTTGTTGCAGTTACTAGAAGAGGCTGCAGCCAAGGGCTTCAGATTCTCATCATCCAAAACAATCCAACGACCAGCCTCCTCCATCATCAATACCACCAATACCCTTCCTCACACTCCTGACTTCGGAAACCTGACAGTAACATTAAATCTACCCTGCCAAAGTCTACCTTGCCTAAACGATATTGATTCCGAATTGCTGCACAGGAGCTCTTACTTGGGCGCAGAATTCAGCGAGTTCCTGTATCAGCCTCCTTTACTGTAACGGAATTTCAAAGTCAGGATACCAACTATATTGGGCCTTGCTGATCACAGCTGTGGACGTATTAAACTGGGTCTTTCCAAGACCGTAAGTTCACATCCTTTCCTGTTGGAGTCCTTGTGTCTGAATTTGCTTTGCAGCTTACCCTCATTGTTAACACACGTCGCGTCCAGGGTTTCGCGTTTTTGAGTCATAGCTTGTCAACTTACCTTACAAGTGGAATCCTTGCGGTTGGTACCCTTAAGTTAATTTTGTCGGTCTAGGAAGGTGTCTCTTCAATCGGGTCCTGTTTGACTAAATCTTCAGCTCCTAAACTATTTGAGGATCGGCCACTGAGGCAAACAATTTCCGGCGAAGAGTTAAGCGTCAGGATGCTACCCCCGTTCAACCAGTTCTTCCGAAGGAATGGCGGAGATTCTCCAGCTGAGCCAGCTGGTAGTGAAGACCTTGAGTGTGGCCATGGATCATTGGTCCCGCAAACAACGACGGCAAGTGGATATCAATCGTCCCCAAGCAGGGTGTATCTGCCTGAAACACAGAGTATCCGTGCATCAACGGTACTTCAAACACGAACACCAAGCCGCGAGTACTTTTCTTACGTACACCACAACGGTCAACATGGCTCGGCAGCGCAAGTGCCACTTACGCCGAGTGGACCTTCGAGAGTTGTAGGATACCTTCCACGAACAATATGCAGCGGTTCCTCACCTCTTGTCGGCCCGACGGGGCTTATCATGCTGTCTCAGCCTTCCGAAGACGCCAGCAATAGAGACTTCATGACCAATACTGGACCTCAATGTCGTTCGACCTCGAACTCCAACACAGCCTCGCATAGGTCTCCTTCTCCAAGATCTCCATTTGATCCTGGCAAACATGGCCAGGCTTTGCGGAGATTGGAAACTCACGGATCTCTAAAAACCATCCCATCTGGTCAACAGGGAGGTGATGCTATCAACCGCACGTCCATCTCATGGTCCGAAATCGGCCGGGAAATTTTCGAAGAACACCACGATGCCAGACTCCAAGGCTCACTTCCTCAGCAGCCAGAAAGTCGGAAATCAGCAGACCCATATGAAACAGTCGATCAGCACTCGGGGGCCGACCTTTCACCACCACCAATCCAATATCTTTCCAACTTCGTTTACCAACCAGGAGTGCTTCGCCAAGGAGACTATTCCAAAGTTGTCAACTTGCCCGATCCGCCGAAAATTGAAGCTGGGCAGAGTTTCACAGAGGCTTCACCATCCTTCGTCTTTCCATTGCCAAATGTGGAAGCAGATAATTCAAATCAAGTGACCCAACAAGCACTGCAATGGAGCCAGGCTTCGCCTAAACCACGTCAAGCAATATCTTCGAAATCACTGGTGGGGGAACCCGATGCCTCGCCAGATCTTCCGTCCAAGAATCTGAGCTCTAAAGAAATGCCTGAGAACAACACAATCGGAAGCATTGTGCGAGACTTTGGTACTCAAGGCAGTAAACAGTTTGAAGACGTGTTTGCTTATGAAGCGAAAGGGGAAGAAGAACAGCAAAGACGCATTGGAAACCTAATTCCAAAGCACCCTCATTCTGCCCACACCTTCGCTCAGAGTCCAACTTTCGAGGAGATCGATGAATATCTCTGGAGTCCTGCCCCAAGTGACGATGGCCAGGAAGCTCCATCGGCACCGCACACGCCAGTCCCACGCCATGCGCCATCGGATGCCTTACGTGCCTCTCCTATTTCTGGACTTTCACCGGATTCGTACGGCGGCTTCTCACGGTCGTTAAAGTCTTATGGCATCGAGCACATTCGTTCCCGGACCGGCTCGTCGGGTAGTCAACGCACCATAGACAGCCCATTGCCACATATCGATGTTCTCATTCCAGCCGGAAACATTGATCTTCATTCTCATTCAGACTTCTTAGGCTCATCCCAACATGCGTCAACCATGGGAAGTAGAGATTTTTCGAGCATACTGTTACGCTACTCGGGCGTAATCACGGATGGTGCCTCCTCGCGGCCCATGTCTGAGAACGAACTCAAAGGAGAGGTACTACATTCGCTGGGAGATCGAACGAAGACTGGATTGAGTATGCTGAGGTCGAGGGACTCAAGTAGCCAAGCGGATCGTCATACCAATTCTGAACAGATCCGTGGAGACCATAAGCCAAATGCTCTACTCGAGGCCTTTCCGCTTGATCGAGTCCTCAGTCCGTCTGCAGATGCTGGACCTGGAAGCAGTCAGACCTCGTCATCACCGAGCGCAGACCGCTATGGTGGTGATCCGTCCGGCCACAAAGCGCGTTTAGGGAATGATGGTCTTCCGGCTTCTAGGACACGGTGCCCCACTCCGCCACTGCTTTTCGGAAAACACGCTATTGGTGAGCCCAAGAATACTAGTACAACGTCAAGGCCAGCTCTTGGAGGTAATACGAGTCGCTTCGATCAAAACCCGGAACCCATTAGACTGAAGGAGACCGGCCGCTTGCCCACGGCCTTGTGCAGCTTAGGTGAACAAGACTGGGAGACTGTTTCTGCTGAAACAGAAGCTGGTACGCACGCTTTTAATGGCATCGCCTTCGACACTGAGACCGGTAGCAGTCTGGCGGATAATTCTGACTCTGGTAATTTGTCCCCGTCAAAGGAGCCACATTATCCTTTCTACGGTGTCAGAACTCAACCAGTGATGCAGCATCCGGCGCATCCACGACACAATCATTCCTTTGTGCTCCTCAAGAATAGCCAGACAGGGGAATTGGTTCAAGTGCCCGAATATGAGTATGCTTCCGGAGGGCGTTTGCCAAACAACAACACTAGTGCTCAATTAGTGTCAAGCGTACGTGCAGACAGTACATATCAGCACCCATCTCCTTTACGGGTCGAGCATAATCATCCTTTTTCTTCCTCACTATCTATCATTCGCTTGAATAAACCATCAGCGATAAACATTCAAGATAGTTGTGTGATGATGCAGCAGAATCATCTGAGTTCAAAGCCGTCCAGTTGTGGGCTGTCAGAGGGTGTTCAGGAAGTAAAGGAAAAGCAGACTCAAGTTCCGTTGTACAATACAACTCAAGACGCGTCCCGTGATCGTGATCCTGCGGTGGATCAGAATCAACTTATTATAGACTCTAGAGAGCAGTCACATCATTTGTCTCCCTGGTTGAGTACAGTTAGCGAAGTCGCCTCAAGCGAACTCTCACTACCTAGGAACGGAGGTACTTTCACAGAGATGATAGTCTGGGATGGAAAAGCACATGTGCATGGCACTCCAGAGCGGGGAGGCAATCGAGAAGTGGGGAGCAGTCTGGCAGATGCAAGCAGCCCGGGCGCCAACTTCTCAAGTAGCCCAGCGCCGCTCGCCAGCTCACCTATTTATTTTCCAGACACACCATCATCATTAGGTCAGGGTCTTCACGAGCAGGCTGTCCGACACAATTTGGACGATGGCAGCCTAAATCTACTAGGCGACTTCCACAAATCACTTGCAAGATCATTCAACCGCGAAGACCCAGCAACCTCGACAGTTAATATAGAGGATCGTTCTAGATCGCATTCAGTATCTGGGCCACGACTGGACCACCGCGAATCATCACCACGTCGACGTAGGTCTTCCAGTGAGAGTCATTCTAAGCTCATGGATACGCCTTCTGCCCAAAAAGCTTCGGCGCTGAACTTGTCATCCTCGGATGGCTATGCTCAGCAGACCACTAGCTCTGTACTTCTCCTCAGAAACCCTTTCTCGCGTTCAGACGACAATGATTCTCGGTATAGCCACCACCAGCACAATTTCATGGAGCGAAAAGGTCGCCAACCAAAAGCGGATGACGCCTCAATCAACGATCCCACTACACCCTCATCAACTGAATCTCGACCTTTCGTCAGAGACGGGGTTGTGCATACTGATGCCGCTCCTCCAGTCCTCCGTCATCCTGTCTATGGTCGCGACCGTCCTTGGGATCGCATAAGACCAGGCCTCCCCCGTCCAAGACCGCACCCGGACCCACTGGGACGTCCACTCTTTCAGCGACCAGTTGCTCGAGCTGAATCACCTCACCTTCACCGTATCCCACATCCGCCTACCCCAGAGCTCCTTGAGCGCCACGTACTACTTTCTCGCATTTACCTCATACCATCCATGGTGATCCCCCCCATTGCCCTTGTTTACGGACATGGCTACATGGACGGCATCACGAGATTCCACACAGCGGGTGAAATCAACGGTTTTCGCAACACAGAGAAAACCATAGCTCTTTGCTGGGGCTACGGCTCGAGCGCTATTTGCATCCTAGCTATTATCATTGCCATGATCATCATTTCCGCCTCCGGTTAGCCAAATGCTTTACAAAGCCACAGCATTCAGCAAAGTCGCATCTCGAGATCCTCTTCAACAGTCTCTACCGACAGACCTACACACCGTACCGATGCCTTTGAAACAATCTTGAGCCATCAAGATTTGCCACAGTCTTTACCACAATCTTCTAACGGCCACATTTCCATTGTACAGTCCTTGCAATCAGTCTCCATCGGTGATTCCACGCATCCTAAATCCGTCGATATCTTCCATCTTGAGTCACCACGTCAAACCACAGTCTCTACGGCAACCTCCTCACGGCCGAATCAATGGTACTCCCAGCAGCATTATATCACATCGATGGGATCATTATCTTCGGCGACTTCAGTTCATGGGTCGACGCCAAACTGAATAGCCCGGCGGAGGGGATCTCACGTCAAACACGTCTCGGCCGCAACGTCGTAACGGCCGAATTCATGATATCCCCAGCCAGCAGCAATTGAATACATTTATTACTTCGTTTCTTCGGCAGCTTCTGCCAGTGGGTTGAAAACCATATCTTGACAGGACTTTTTTCACTGTGGATGGGGACCACTTCATGTCACATACCGAAGGCATTGCAGAGCCAGCTTCAGTCTATGGGGGGTCTGGACGTCTGTGAGAGGGACACTTTTCCATCCCACCAAAAGGCAGCGCGAAAGTTTACACGGGAAGCTGTGAGAGGGTGGAACGTGTCAAATGAGTAGCATACATTGGCGTCTGCAATGCCACTCAGTATGAAGAATTTTCTATACGACTTCTTTCTTGAAAAAGGTGTCGAAGCTTTTAATAATGTTTGGAAATATTCCGACCTAGCTAGCTTTCAGACACCAAAAATACCAAAAACAGTTGTAAGACAAAGTTGGCGGTTCTCATGCTTTGATTCGCTACTGATTGTGACAATGATTCTTGGTGAAGCTTTTCACAATCTGGCTGGCGAGTACTAGTACCCCTTACTTACCGCTTCTCCTCAGTCTTGTGGCAAGCCTCTGTATCGGGGTTTCAGGCTATGGAGTAGTAGAGCGATCTTATTAGAAGAAGTCTACCAAAGTGCTCCTATGGGTATGGGAGGGATGCCGCAAAAGACAATCTCTTTGGCCCTTCTCTGCACAAAACATTTTATGCCAGCCTTGGCGTCCATATTGGGCCGCGTCACAAATTCGCCACCGGCTGCCAAGGTTCTAGAAAGCATAATAATCAATTGTTAGGAAAATGTATTGATTTACAACTACTCCGCACAGAATCTCGGAGCTGTCGCGCAAAGGCATCCATACCTACATTGATATCATTACACGCACAGGGTTCTTCGCCATGGCATTCTGCATCACCTTTGGCACGCATCGTACGCTCCTCCCCCCCCTCTCTCTCTCGCGCGCTCTCTCTCGCTCCATCTTTCCAGCAAGCACTCAATTGGCTCCAGCAAAAGGCTAACGGTTGGGAACAGAGTTCACGTCTCAGCTAGAAGGATACGAGGGCGTCACGGCGCAGTGTCACAACTGTGGGATTCCTGTACTCATGATGGACGGGGGAGGAGAGAGAAGGGGGGAGAGACAGAGAGCGGAGGCTGATTGGGGAAAAAACACTTAGGTGGAAACTGGTCCGCTCATTGCATTTCGACATGGTCGTGGATCACGATTTGTTTCATCGTACGTGCATCCGAACCCACCCTGCCCCATCTATCCTCCGTTCGATGTGCGAGAACGATTACCGGGCAACGAAGACAAAAGCAAAAGCTGACGCACGACCAGCCCGTCATCCCGCTCTCATTCCACAAACGCAAAGAGGTCGCGTGTCCCATCTGTAATTTCATGCAGGACTTGGGGTGAGAGTCTTTCTCTTCCTTTTCGCCTTCCCCTATCTCCCTCCCTCCCCCCCCCATCTGCCCCAGCCGTATGTGTGACAGAAATGGCGGATCGGTAGCTTACCGAACTTCGTTTTCTGTGCTACAGTAATCGACCAGACGTACAATCGCAACATCCTGGCGCTGGCAACATGATGCAAGGATCAGGGGGCCCGCCGCCGCAAGGGTACCAGCCGCCGCAGCAGGGCTATCAGCCGCCGCAGGGAGGACCGCCGCCGCAGGAGCAGGGAGGGATGCCGTATAAATGATACGGGACGGCGAGGGAGGGAGCAAGCGGATGGTGGTGCTGCAAGTATGGCTGGGAAGAACAAGCAGAGTGCGTGAGGGCGTGAGGAGTTGGAGGACCAGCGGTTCAGGGGCTTAATTCTATCCTTTCGTAAGGGGTGTCGAGTGGTGTTGTTTCATTCGTTACGCCCGCATTGACGATATCGAGCAGTGACTTTTGAAGAGCGAACTGAAATCATTGTCTCCCCTGATAAAGTCTCGGGAATGCTACTGAGATTTGAACAAGTCGAACTACTGATTGCGAAACGCAAATGCAGAACGTGGCAACAGGCTTTCTGGAGTACTTATAAGACCATGGGCCATATACACCGCGGAGGCAGACTCCATCCTATCTACCAGCTGTCACTGGATGCTGCAGAACATCCATCATCCTCAAACGCCCTTTTGGCTAGACTTTCGGTCCGTGTCGAAACCACAGCATTCAGCTTCGGGTCAAGAAGGCGAGGGACTCTTTCTTCAATCCCTACTAGTGTGTCTCCCTCGCAATCCCACCCGTCGTCCCAGGCTGAACCGGAGCTTTCTTCTCCAAACTGCCTCCTCCACCCGCCGCTTCCGGCTCCGCGGCATGTTTCTTCAACGCTTCCATCGTGATACCGTTCTGGAGTGCGGACTCGTCGGTGGCGTGGAGGAAGACCCTAGAGTAAAGAAATCCTCAATCCATGCTCAAGCGGACCGATACCAAGGGGAAAGGGATTGACAAGAGAACCCACTTCGGCACGACGGGATCATCCTTCCCCTTGGCAGCTTCCATCGCCTCCTTCCACCTCGCCGTACACAAGCACCACTTGCAGCCCGGTTCGAGCCCGATCGATCTCAGATTGTTGCCGCGCGAGGCGCTGAAGTCGAGGAATTCTTTGGTGAGGACGCCTGTACAGCAGAAAAAAAAGCATTAGCCGTAACGCTGGCCGGCTGAGGAATCGGATGGCAGAGATGGGGACACGGACCGGCAACGGCGTGGTTTCCGCCATCTTCGGGTCCCACCCGACAGTAGCCGTCACGGTAGAAGCCCGTCATGGGTTTCTGGGAGAAGAGGGCGAGCGGCTTTTTGAGGACTGTTCGGGGCGGAGGGTAGGTGGTTAGCGTTTGTTCAACAGGATGCTGGGAGCGAAATGACGTTTCCCGTAGGATTGCGTCTGTAGCATTGGGCCATCTCATCGAGGGCAGGCAGTGCTCACCATTGAGATTGTGGTTGCTTTGTTTGGTGGCCATGTTGAAGGCTGCGATGAGAGCGAGTATGAGAAGTGGTAGTAAGAAGATGACGGAGGTGGTCAGAGAGTCACGCTGTAATGGCATTGACTAGAAATTCGGGTAGGATGAGTGTACTGAAGTCATTCGCAACTCGAGCAAAAATGGAGTCGATGATGACGTGCACTCAACCGGACTTACACCGCTGGTGCCGGACTTAGCATCCTGGCGGCGATCAGGAACAGAGGGACTTGAATCTGAGATGCTAATTGCTGGATACACATACGACTTTGGTGGGCTTCAGTAGGCTTTTTACATATTGCACAGGAGCATTGCCACTGCCATTTGGAAGTCTCATTGCTGCATGCTAGATGTCAAGGAAGAGAATGGCATTGCTGCAAAAGAAGCTTTCGCAACCACCTTTCTAGCCCCAACGGATGCTTGTTCGATCCTTTCTCGAGTATCAGCATCCAAATCTTGCTTCATCACCACACAAGTTGCCTCAAATGCTATGGCTCGTGATTCATGACATCGGGCACCAATCATCTCTTTGAAGAGCGCCTCTTAGAAGTCAAAGAAATTGCAGCCTCTTCCTAGATCTGTGGATGTTCAAACCCCCAGTGCTTTGCTGGATAAATCATAAGCTGGGAATCCGTGGAAAATCCAGCAACGAAACCCCATGGGCCACATTCGAACCTTTCTGCCTTCTTGTATCGCTAAATGCCGACCAATCCCATCGTGATCTCGTCTTTAAGTTCAAGCAAACGTTGGTGCATCCGTTTGACATTGTCGATCTTCTCCTGTGGAACATCTGTGGACTCCGAAACCTCACGATACAGAACCTCATATTTGGCATAGTAGGTCTTGAAATCTTGTGCTCTCTTCAATGCATGGCTGGTAGCGAGCGGTGAGTTGCTGCTTTCGGAAGTAGAGGGAGACGCGGCGGACGCTTTATGGCGCTTTGCACCGTTCACTTGTCCATTGGTTTGACCATTACTGTGAACATGGATGTTGGCGTCCAGATCGTCAGCCTTGCGCTTCAGAGAATGCTCTGATGTGTTGTGTGCATGCCCATTGACTGGGGGGGGGACACCGTTAGGCTTGATGGTTGTCTTTTGGGCCTGTGATACAAGAGAAGTCGAAGAAGCTGAAGAGGCACCATTCTCGAGATCGGAAGCATTCGTCGGCGGTGAGGATCCGAGAGGGGATGGTTTATGAGGCGAACTGGTGGTCCGCTGGCGGGATATCGTTTTCTTCATCGCAGTTGAGCCTTGACTAGAATCTGAGACTCGATGTTTTCTTGCCGGGCTCGACGAAGCAGACGGCAAAGGTTTCTTTTCATGGGCTTTCGCAGGTGGCGTAGAAGTTGTCTTTCCACTCTTGGTTTCTGATTTTTCGCTCTTGACATCTTTGCTCTTGGCGATTTTGCTGTGTTCGTGATTGGCGGCAGCAGGCTTCGGCTTCGAGGTCGCGTCTGAGCGAGATGGTGTGATGGGCTTTGACTTACTTCCCTTGCCAGCTGTAGTAGACTCAATGTTTCGAGACGATGAAGCTGGCTTTGGAACCTTAGGGCTGATACTAACCGTTTTTTGGGTTGATGCAATAGACGGAGGAGACGCAGCGGCCTTGAATGGTAGAGTTTGGTCAACATGCTTTGGTGTCGTAGATTGGGCCTGGAGCGTTGCTGCGTCTTCCAATCCATCCTCCTCGTCAGAGTCATTGACAAATTCACTCGATTTCGGAACATTGGCTTTCTTGGCCCCTTTCTTCACCGCTGGATGATCCTCTTTGACCTTCGGGGCTGGGGTGACTTTCTTTGGTCCGCTCGTTAGAAGGCGCTTGGATCGAGCTTCTTTCTCGCTGACCTTCTTCTTCTTAATTTGGTCCTGCGACTGCGAGCGAGCCATGGGTTCAGCGTCGCTGGGCGCAAGTCTGTCTTTTTGATCGCTCTCGTGACCAGTCAAATGATCACTTGCATTAGAATCATGTGGAGGGTTTTGCACATGGATCCTTGGAGTGTTGCTCTGCTTGATTGGGCCTTTGTGCAAGTCCAAGTTCGAGAGAATCTTGCCTTTACCGCGCTCATTCTTTGGGAGCAACATATCCCAAACCTTTTCCTTGGTAGAGATCCTCATCCTATCGAACGCTGAGATGGCGCAATTGATTGCGAGTTGACGATCATCCTGGTTTGGGTAATCGAAATTCCATACGTCCAACTCTTTGAAGGCCTTATCATTCAAGGTCCACTTGTCTGGAATCGGGCGAAATTCTTTGCCGACCTTGTTCAAGACCTCGAGTAGCTCATCTTGTTTGCAGCCCAGGTGTCCAACAAGTAATGTGATTGATGCGGGTCGTGCGGCTAGGAAGTGAATAAGAGGTGTTCGTAACGCCTTGATTTTCGCGGCCCTCTCATTGGGAAGCGATGGCACTGAGGTTGGTGGTGTCTTTTGAGTGAGGGGTGTGCGAGCAGCGCCGAGAGAAGGACTGACAGGCATCGAGCGAGTGGTATGGTTGAGATGTGCGGGGTTATGCTGTTTCTTAAGGAAAGAGAGCGGGTTGGTCTTGACAGACTGATGTTTGAGAGCAGCTGCCGTCTGTTTGGTAGGAGGTGGGAGTTTGGAGTTATCAGGCACGTATTTGATTCTGAGTAGTCGTCCTTGTCAGTAGGAAGTGAATGTACCAGGAGAGACATGGGAGCACTGACTGCTTCGACTGCTTGTCTTTCTGGTGGGAGGCCAGTTGACTTTGTAACTTCATGAGAGCTTCATCAGCACCTGCAATATCTTCTTGAGCTTTCTGCATGGCGAGTTGGTGACTTAATCGTCCAGTCAATGCAAGTTTATTCTCGTCTTCTGTAGAGGACTCGTAGATTTGTGTAGAGGAAGAATTACACGGCGATGCGTCAAGAGGCTGGGATTTATTGCCATAGTGAAGAGTCTGTTGAAACATGTTAGCGTGCGTGACAGTTGTCAATAACTATTGAGCAAACCGCTTACTATTGTCTTTCCGAACTGAACATTCACGCCCTTCCCACCATGGCGGGCGCTCCTCAACATATCCCCAAGAACATTGGGTGGTAACTCGAGCTGCATGACTTGGGCAAGTCCGGTGTTGTGCTTGGAGGCAGCATCTTTGGGTCTCGACTGGGTAAAGTCGATGAGGGCAAGACCGCTGTTGGGAACAAGTAGCTGCGCCATGGCGTGTTTCCTCACGCCTCCTCAGATACGACGGCGTGTTCCAACAGCTCAGGGTTTGGAGTGCCAGTTAAGGCATAATGTAGAGGTCACGCTGGTCCATTTGCTCCATGCGTAAGAGCGGGAAGGACAAAGTGGAAGCAGCAGGGATACGAGGCGGGAGACGAGAAGTAGTAGCAAACGGATTGCAATGGATAGGTGTGTATTACTGCAAAGGTTGTAGATGGCGATGGGAAGAAAGGAAATGGAAGGAAAAGAAATGGAGAATGGAATGGAGAGAAAGAGTGTTGAGGTGGTAGTGAATGGAAATTGAAGTGGAAAGGAATGAGGACAATGTGGAAGAATTGGGCTTTCCTCAGGTCCCAAGCGTATTAGGGCAAGATGATGGATGGAGACATGGAGATGGAGATTTATGGATTGAGTTGAATCAGAGGCTCAGAGGCTCAGAGCAGATGTGGGCAGTGGCAGCGGTGATAGATACGGTACGAGTATGCAAGGATCTAGTCCGCCCGCCCTACCTCCGCAAATGCCTGCAAGGCGAGCCACGGATGCTGGTGACCGATAGGTTCCGCTTTAGGTGCGCTCGTGCTCTAACTATTATGCAGACTAAAGTACTTTAAAATCCATTGCTACGTGATCCATCTTGGTAGTAGTAGGAGTAGTAGGAGTAGTAGGAGTACTAGTAGTAGTAATAGTAGAGGAAGAATGAGAAGAAGAAGAAGAAGAAGAAGAAGAGCTTATCACTGACTGGGTGATACTCGCCGACTCATCTGCGATCAGATGCTCAAAATATGAATGGTTATTTGTCTGTACTGACAGGGCATGGTTCTACTACATAGGACTATTACGGTATGATGTGAGGATGTGAGGATGTGATGATGTGATGATTGTGATTGATGATGATTATTGTTCCAGCTGACTTTTGTTGAAGGAAGGAATGAAGGGATGATCAGGAACAGAAGAGGGTTCAGCAGGATGTCAAATGATAGACGATAAATGATAAAGCTTTCTCAATAATATTCAGGTAATACTACATGAATATTCTTACTGTAGCATTCTGTCGTCGTCTTCAAGTTGTGTGACGGTGACTGGCTCCAAAGTAAGAGAGAGGAAAGGAATAAGGTAGACCCCCCAGCCCGGAACAGCTTACTCAATCAGGTAAAGAGCTAAAGATGGGCGAGCACAGTACTTTAATCTTGCCAGCAAAATAATAAGGGAATAAAGTACTGTAGGATAAGGTAGGGTACATGTTGTAATCAGGCATAAGGCATAAGGCATAAGGCAGCAATAATGATCCGAAACGTGGTGACGCCTGCTCCTTCTCCCTTGATGTTTGCCTCGGCTAATACTCTGTCTGACTGCCGTCTGTCAAGGTCCAAGCGGCCTTTCTTCCTTTGGGTCCTTCGGAGCAGCAATCGATCAATCAATCAGTCAGTCAGTCATTGAATGATGCGATGGGCTCGCAAATATCAAATATCAAGGCGAAGATAAAGTATTCATATAATCGGATCGAATATCGGCTATCGACTGGCTTGCGGGGTGCCCGGAGGGGGCGAATTCTTGCCCTTTCGGGAGCCCTAACAGAATGGTGCGGATGTCAGAGTTGGACTAAAAACTACCGGTGCCCTTCCGCTCCACTGCCCTGCTCTTCTCCACCCTCAATTTCTCTCCCACTCACCTACATATCCCCACACACTTATCTACACTTACATCCCGCTTAACCCTTGTCCCTTTTCCCTCTTTCGATCGAGTGCTCGGTACCCCAAAGTAACAGTAAGTACAAACACATCACCATACATCTTTTTCCATCAGACGACTTGGAAGGTCCTT